CAGTGGTGATGAAGAGGAAGACAATTTTTACTCATATCTGACCATCAGTTAGGGAGACCAACAGACTATTATTTTTACATTTAAGTCATTTAGCAGACGCTCTTATCCAGAGCGACTTACAGTTAGTGAGTGCATATATTTTTCATACTGGCCCCCCGTGGGAAATGAACCCAAAACCCTGGCGTTGCAAGCGCAATGCACTACCAATTGAGCTACAGGGGACTACAGTTAGAGTGTAAGGGGCAATCACTTTTTCACACAGGGGCATTGGGTGTTGCATAACTTTGTTTAAGAAATAAGTACGTAAATCTGTTATTTATTCACTCGGGTTCCCTTTATCTAATATTAGGTTTTGGTTGAAGTTCCGATGCAGTGCCTTCAGAAAGTATTCAGACCCCTGGACTTACTCCACTTTGATACGTTACAGCCTTATTCTGAAATAGACCAAATAAATACAAATCCTCAGCAATCTACACACAATACCCCATAATGACAAAGCGAAAACAGAAATACCTTATTTACATAAGTATTCAGACCTTTTGCTATGAGACTAAAAATTGAGCTCAGGTGCATCCTGTTTCCATTGATCATCCTTGAGATGTTTCTACAACTTGGATTCCACCGGTGGTAAATTCAATTGATTGGACATGATTTGGAAAGGCACACACCTGTCTATATAAGTTGACAGTGCAAAAACCTAACCATGAGGTCGAAGGAATTGTCCGTAGAGGTCCGAGACAGGATTGCAGAAGGACAACCATCTCTGCAGCACTCCACCAATCAGGCCATTATGGTAGAGAGGCCAGACTGACGCCACTCCTCAGTAAAAGGCACATGACAGCCAGCTTGGAATTTGCCAAAAGGCATCTAAAGACTCTCAGACCATGAGAAACAAGATTCTCTGGTCTGACGAAACCAAGATTGAACTTTTTGCCCTGAATGCCAAGCATCACTTCTAGAGAAAACCTGGCACCATCCCTACGGTGAAGCATGGTGGTGGCAGCATCATGCTGTGGGGATGTTTTTCAGCTGCAGGGACTGGGAGACTAGTCAGGATCGAGGCAAAGATTAACGGAGCAAAGTACAGCGAGATCCTTGATGAAAACCTGCTCAGAGCGCTCACTACCTCAGACTGGGGGCAAAGGTTCACCTTCCAACCAGACAACGACCCTAAGCATACAGCCAAGACAGCGCAGGAGTGGCTTCGGGACAAGTCTCTGAATGTCCTTGAGTGGCCCAGCCAGAGCCTGGACATGAACCCGATGGAACATCTCTGGAGAAACCTGAAAATAGCTGTGCAGCAACGCTCCCCATCCAACCTGACAGAGCTTGAGAGGATCTGCAGAGAAGAATGGGAGAAACTCCCCATATACAGGTGTGCCAAGCTTGTAGCATCATACCCAAGAAGACTCGAGGCTGTAATCGCTGCCAAAGGTGCTTCAACAAAGTACTGAGTAAAGGGTCTGAATACTTATGTAAATGTCATATTTCTGTTTTAGCAAAATTTTCTAAAATCCTATTTTTGCTTTGTCATTATGGGGCAGTGTGCAGATTGGGGAGGAAAAAACTATTCAATCAATTTTAGAATAAGGCTGCAACCCAACAAAATGTGGGAAAAGTCATGGGGTCCGAATACTTTCCGAAGGCACTAACATTCAGTATAAAAAATATGCAGAAGTAGAGGAAATTAGAAAGGGTTGGCAAATACTTTTTCACAGCACTGTACCTTACTATAAGGAGGGAGAAGCACTACATTCACATAGAGCAGAACTGGTGCGGCATTAGTTTAAATAATTACATTTTCCACATGGTAATAAGAATCAGTTGAGTGTAATAACCCATTGTTCACTAAAATAAGAGGAAATGTAGTCGGCAGGAGTGGAGGAAGAGGGCAACGGTTGATTGTTACTAGTTAACTGACTAAGTGTTCCAAAAGGTTACTTTCTGCTTGAATAAAATTAATGAAATAAAACGTAATTTGGTTTTTGAACCTTAATGTACATGATTGATGATTTATTACGTAAAAAAACATCAACATTTGTGAGCTGTATGCCTCATCTAAGAAAATCCCTAAAACAATTCACAACGAGACAGACTAGGCTGACTGATTATTCATCATAACCGAGTATGAGCTAACACCTCAGTCAGAGGTGTAATCCGTAAAGATCACAGATGTTTTATTTTGTGAAAAGTGAGTCGTAATGGTATATTCTCTGCCACAAGTCCCTTTCCACAGCATTAAGAATATTGTTTGTTTTTTTCTCACAGATTTCTTCGAGAATTTATGAAACCTGCGCACCAAAGGACCAAGTTTGTTCCATGAGTAGGACAGAGGTAGGTGTGAGGGAAAGTTGCGCTGGCTGCCAAGGAGTTGCAGTCGACCGGTACTCGCCAAATACCATTTGAAAGTGACTAATTCATTTTTTTAAAGACCTGTTGGAGGTTTAATGTGTGTCCCCTAAAATAGGCTACTGGCTGCTGTCATACTGAGGTTTATAAAACTTTAATGGGACTACTTGGATATTGTTGGCAGGGTTATTTAAAAACGATTCTACATGAGAAAAAACTATAGTTCCCACAAACAGAGTCAACTTCAAAGAGTTCTCACAATGGAAAACTATGCAAAACAATCAATCTTATGGACAGCCCTTTGTCTGATAGACCTCCACTTTACACAACCATCTGTAACCATTTAATCTTACAAGTGACCCAGATTAACAAACCAACATGCACCTCTAATTCGATTTGAATCATATCCATATAACATCTACGGAGAAGGCGTATACCAAGTCACTTATAAATTACCAATGTGACTAGGGAAACAAATGTGGTCCATTTCCTCAAAATGGTATTCCATTGTTCGATGTATTGAAATGGTTCAGGAGAGGAAGGCCTCTCATTTCATTTCCTGTTCTCACATATAAATAATCCTCCTCTGAATTATTTTCACTTGCTTCCCACGACAGTATCGATAAATATAGCATGGCATAGACAGTATAACACAGTAGCCTCAGCAACAATAATGTGAAATACATCAGCCGATCTGGACTGATGCTTGAAATAGCAAGCATGACGACGATGCACCAGACTCTTCTTAATCATTCAACATGACAAATATGTCCCTATGCTCAAATACACAATTGAAAAGACTTTCATTGAAATAAGTTCATGCATGTATACCTAGGCCTATCCAGAACATTACAATTTTGCATAGATACATGACATATGTAGGTGGTTAGCCCATTAAAATACTGTAAATGTTATTAAACCGAAAGAGGGGGGAACTGTAAGACCCATTGGGCCCTCATCAGCTAGTAGGTGGTGGTTGGCTGAGGTAGACACAGACAGACAGGCTTAAATGAATGAAGAAAATGTAACCAACAGAGAAAAGTTTACCAAACAGAAGTCATCTAGCGGTAGCTATAAAAAATAATATATTTTACACTTGTATGTCTACCTTCATATGCAGTACCAGTCAAAAGTTTGGACACACCTACTCATTCAAGGGTTTTTCTTTATTTTGACTATTTTCTACATTGTAGAATAATAGTGAAGACATCAAAACTATGAAATAACACATTTGGAATCATGTAGTATCCCAGAAAAGTGTTAAACAAATCAAAATATATTTTATATTTGAGATTCTTCAAATAGCCACCAGTGGGTGAGCCTGGTTCCAAAGTAATTGGGGAACCAGGCCCAGCCAATCAGAATTGTTTGTTTTTTTTCCCACAAAGAGGTTTTATTACAGACAGAAATACTCCTCAGGACCCGGCCCTCACGCTCTCTGATGATCCCGCAGGTGAAGAAGCCGGATGTGGAGGTCCTGGGCTGGCGTGGTTACACGTTGTCTGCGGTTGTGAGGCCGGTTGGACATACTGCCAAATTCTCTAAAATAACGGCTTATGGTAGAGAAATTAACATTCAGTTCTCTGGAAACAGCTCTGGTGGACATTCCTGCAGTCAGCATGCCAATCGCACACTCCCTAAAAACTTGAGACATCTGTGGCATTGTGTTGTGTGACAAAACTGCACATTTTAGAGTGGCCTTTTATTGTCCCCAACACAAGGTGCACTTGTGTAATGATCATGCTGTTTAATCAGCTTCTTGATATGCCACACCTGTCAGGTGGATGAATTGTCTTAACAAATGATAAAATGCTCACTAACAGGGTTTTTTTGTGCACTAATTTTGAGAGAAAAAAGCTTTTTGTGTGACCCCAGGAAGAGTAGCTCCTGCTTTCACAACAGCTAATGGGCAATGGTGTAAAGTACTTAAGTAAAAATACTTGAAAGTACCACTTAAGTAGTTTTTTTGGTTATCTTTACTTTAGTATGTATATTTATTACTACTTTTACTTTACTATATTCCTAAAAAAAATGATGTACTTTTTACTCAATCAATTTTCCCTGACACCCAAAAGTACTCATTACATTTTGAATGCTTAGCAGGACAAGAAAATTGTCTAATTCACACACGTATGAAGAGAACATCCCTGGTCATCCCCACTGCCTCTGATCTGGCGGACTCACTAAACACATGCTTCGTTTGTAAATGATGTCTGAGTGTTGGAGCGTGCTCCTGGTTATCCGTAAATTGTTTTGGGTTTGCTTAATATAAGGAATTTGAAATGATTTATACTTTTACTTTTACTTTTGATACTTAAGTATCTTTTAGCAATTACATTTACTTTTGCTACTTAAGTATATTTAAAACGTTTATATTTTTGTTTAGTGTATATCGGGTGTTGATGCCTACCCTAGCTGTGAAAGCATCTGAATTGAAACTTGTTGGAGCTTGTTAGAGGTGTTTGAAGTGCAGCAGTTGCGCGACGCCACAGATCTCTAGGTAATGTGGATAGCATCTCCACCTGTTAAACTGCAGCAGCCATTGTTCAGAGCATCTCGTCGTGCATGGGCCCTATCCAGATTCCACATTCTTCAAAGGTCAGCGCTAGGGGTATTCACAGACAGGCTAGTGGCTCAGCGAAGACGCGATCATGGCCTCCACAGCACTGAATTGCACACATTTTATGTTGTGTTTTATTTATTGTTCGTTACTTGTTGGTAATATATTTTGCGATGCTGATTCTGAAGAAGATGAACATGCCAAGCATACGTATACGGTGGATATGTTCAACAATGCTGTCCCCACCGCTCCCCACTTTGTCATGTTCTTCGCCCCTTGGTAAGCAAAAGTTTTCAAGTTTTAACCTGAATGAATGGATAAACTCGCTAGGTAGAGTGCAGTTTGTAAAGTTATTGACAATATTTAGATGGCTACCATATTTCTTTACCAACTTATAAGATTTTCAAGTTGTCATGGGCTACAGTAGCAGCTAACTTGCAGCTAGCTAGTTCTGCTTTTATTGCCGGCTAGCTGTCTAAAAAGCTAGCTAATAAGCTAACTAGTCAGCCAAGTTGTATTATTTTTTGCTACAAATGATAACTAGGACTTGTATATAAAATGTTATCCATCATTGCATTGATGCGAAGTCATTGTAATCTAGCTAGCTAACTAACACACTGGCTAAAGATTGGCTAACAAATCACATGAGACCAGAACTACGCTAACGTTAGTTAACATGCTTTGGTTGCTAATCATTAGAGCCTGGGAAACTTATGGAAACTTGTGAACTTTTTGAAGTCACGATTCAACTTGGACTGTCCCGTACTTTAACGTTAGTTGACATAGTCGCTAACTACATGCACAGTACAGTGTTCCCCCCCCCCACCACCACCATGGTGTTCATTTTGCTGCACAGTTGTTTGTACTGTATAACAGCTAGCCTAGCTAGCTAACAGTACAGTAGAGTGAAGGAATGGACCATTTTATGATGAGACCGCTTACGTGGCAAGCACTGATTGACGTAACTTCGTAGACATGCATGCCCTAAAGCTGCCTAAAAATGTCCTACGTTTTTTTCAACACAAGGAACAATCTACTTGCTGTAGTAAGGCCTAATATGTTGGTATCTTTTCTGAAATGTAAGCGTTTGGACAACAGTGCAGTTCTTCATCACTTCACAGGAGTATCTTTACTGTATACCTCCCTGCACACAGTTACAAGCTGACCCCCACACTGCACAAACTGATCAAATAAACATAAAAAGCTATTTTGATAACTTAAGTCAGACAACATGACAAGGTGGCACATGTATGCCACTTGCCATAGAAACATGAAGACAGTTGGAATTCAATAGGAGTGTTGAGTTGTATCAGGTGTCTCCCTTTTCCACTCAGACTGTGCTCTCTCTATTTAATGCCTAGGCTAATCAGTGTTTCCACCTATTTTTTAGTGTTTGCGTCTTGGCAGATATATCCCGAGTGGCGCAGCGGTCTAAGGCACTGCATCTCAGTGCTTGAGGCGTCACTACAGACCCCCTGGTTCGATTCCAGGCTGTATCATAACCGGCCGTGATTGGGAGTCCCACAGGGCGGCGCACAATTGGCCCAGCGTCGTCCGGGTTTGGCCGGTGTAGGCCGTCATTGTAAATAAGAATTTGTTCTTAACTGACTTGCCTGGTTAAATAAAGGTTAAATAAAATGTTAAAATCTCAGCGGTGGCAACAATGATATAGGGGGGGGAACAGCTAATTCCAGGCAGAACTGTGAGGCCTGTACCACCTCAGGGAAAATACTTTGAAAGAACCTGTGCTGCGTTTTGTTTCCAGGTGTGGTCACTGTCAGAGGCTACAGGGGACATGGAACGAGATGGGGGACAAATACAACAGCATGGAGACTCCACCCGCCTACGTAGTAAAGGTTGACTGCACTCAGGATGTTAAGTTCTGCTCCAATGTCCACGGCATCAGGGGCTACCCCACGTAGGTATAGGGTTGTATTAATTAGTGCACACCATAGCAAAACATTAAAAAAATGTTTTGCAACATAACCGTTTCTTACTGGATTTCTTATTGGAGAAGTTCATGTACTACCTCGCCATTTCAAGGTGTATCTTCATTTTGCCACTAGGATAAACCATGTAGCTAGATTGATTACTTATTGACTGATAGCAGTGTGATACATTGACATGCATTTAGTTTAATTTTTAACCACCTTGTTTTGCAGTGTATGCTGTTACATTTTATTAGCCAAGGACTAACGTTGAGTTGCATGTAATGACGAAGGAATTGATCAGTTAAGTGTATTGTGAGTGTGTCGGTCATCTTACAGAGCAGTAGGGCCTAGTCATTGAGGCGAATGATCTCGTTGACCCCCTGTGTTGTCTGTAGGCTGAAGCTGTTCAAACCTGAGCAGGAGGCGATGAAGTACCAAGGCCCCAGGGACCTGCAGTCTCTGGAGACCTGGATGCTCAACACTCTGCAGGAGGAGCCTGTGGTAAGTGGGGGAGCGGGGGTGTTACCTTAGTGCAGCGACGATGGCGGCGGTACATGCATCTCATCTGAAATGGCTTCTCCTCCTAATTTCCTTTCATCTGCGCTGATTTGAAAGCCTTGGATAGGTGAATGCAAATTAACAGTGGACAACCTTGTTATTGCTTCCACCTGATCCTGTTCTCAGTGCATGAGGATGATGACGAGAGGGAATTCCTTTAAACCAGGGATCATCAACTAGATTCAGCCGCGCTAAAAAAATCGAAATCCGTTAGCGGATGGTCAGGGGGCTGGAACATAATTACAAATAATTTGTAGACTGCAAATTGACCGCAAGAAGCCCAAACAGATATTTTAATTGAGTACAGGCTTAAGTGAATGGACATATACAAAGACAGAATGCAATATGGAATTTTTATTTAGATATATTGGGGTAGGCCTCGTCTCTGAAGAAATGCTCCTCAGAGCCAGATGTTGATGGCAGATACCCTTAGAGGGACAGCTGGCATCAAAACCCCCCGCTGGAACAGCCCCAGACCATTATTCCTCCTCCACCAAAATGTACAGTTGGCGCTATGCATTGGGGCAGGTAGCGTTCTCCTGGCACCCGCCAAACCCAGATTCGTCGGACTGCCAGATAGTGAAGCGTGATTCATCACTCCAGAGAATGCGTTTCCAATGCTCCAGAGTCCAATGGCGGCGAGCTTTACACCACTCCAGCCGACGCTTGGCATTGCGCATGGTGATCTTACGCTTGTGTGCAGCTGCTCTGCCATGGAAACCCATTTCACGAAGTTCCCGACGAACAGTTCTTGTGCTGACGTTGCTTCTAGAGGCAGTTTGGAACTCGGTAGTAAGTATTGCAACTGAGGACAGACGATTTTTACGCACAATGCGCATTAGCACTCGGCGGTCCCATTCTGAGAGCTTGAGTGGCCTACCACTTCGCGGCTGAGCCGTTGTTGCTCCTAGACGTTTCCACTTCACAATAACAGCACTTACAGTTGACCGGGACAGCTAAAGCAGGTCAGAAGTTTGACGAACTGACTTGTTGGAAAGGTGGCATCCTATGACGGTGCCATGTTGAAAGTCACTGAGCTCTTCAGTAAGGCCATTTTACTGCCACTGTTTGTCTATGGAGATTGCATGGCTGTGTGCTCGATCCACTAATTTGAAGGGGTGTCCACGTACTTTTCTATATGTAGTGTAATTGCGCTAGTGAGCCCATAGGTTAATCAGGAAGCATGTTGACATTGCCTTAGTGTGCCGTGCTCAAAGGCTGGAGTTAATCATTGTATGATGATCCCCGCGCTTGGTAATTGTGAAGGATTAGGACACGTAACACTATACTGACGAGGTAACATTGTAGCCAACACCATATACAGTGGGGGAAAAAAAGTGTTTAGTCAGCCACCAATTGTGCAAGTTCTCCTACTTAAAAAGATGAGAGGCCTGTAATTTTCATCATATGTACACGTCAACTATGACAGACAAATTGAGGAAAAAAAATCCAGAAAATCACATTGTAGGATTTTTAATGAATTTATTTGCAAATTATGGTGGAAAATAAGTATTTGGTCACCTACAAACAAGCAAGATTTCTGGCTCTCACAGACCTGTAACTTCTTCTTTAAGAGGCTCCTCTGTCCTCCACTCGTTACCTGTATTAATGGCACCTGTTTGAATGTTTTATCAGTATAAAAGACACCTGTCCACAACCTCAAACAGTCACACTCCAAACTCCACTATGGCCAAGACCAAAGAGCTGTCAAAGGACACCAGAAACAAAATTGTAGACCTGCACCAGGCTGGGAAGACTGAATCTGCAATAGGTAAGCAGCTTGGTTTGAAGAAATCAACTGTGGGAGCAATTATTAGGAAATGGAAGACATACAAGACCACTGATAATCTCCCTCGATCTGGGGCTCCACGCAAGATCTCACCCCGTGGGGTCAAAATGATCACAAGAACGGTGAGCAAAAATCCCAGAACCACACGGGGAGACCTAGTGAATGACCTGCAGAGAGCTGGGACCAAAGTAACAAAGCCTACCATCAGTAACACACTACGCCGCCAGGGAGTCAAATCCTGCAGTGCCAGACGTGTCCCCCTGCTTAAGCCAGTACATGTCCAGGCCCGTCTGAAGTTTGCTAGAGTGCATTTGGATGATCCAGAAGAGGATTGGGAGAATGTCATATGGTCAGATGAAACCAAAATAGAACTTTTTGGTAAAAACTCAACTCGTCGTGTTTGGATGACAAAGAATGCTGAGTTGCATCCAAAGAACACCATACCTACTGTGAAGCATGGGGGTGGAAACATCATGCTTTGGGGCTGTTTTTCTGCAAAGGGACCAGGACGACTGATCCGTGTAAAGGAAAGAATGAATGGGGCCATGTATCGTGAGATTCTGAGTGAAAACCTTCTTCCATCAGCAAGGGCATTGAAGATGAAACGTGGCTGGGTCTTTCAGCATGACAATGATCCCAAACACACCGCCCGGGCAACGAAGGAGTGGCTTCGTAAGAAGCATTTCAAGGTCCAGATCTCAACCCCATAGAAAATCTTTGGAGGGAGTTGAAAGTCTGTGTTGCCCAGCGACAGCCCCAAAACATCACTGCTCTAGAGGAGATCTGCATGGAGGAATGGGCCAAATACCAGCAACAGTGTGTGAAAACCTTGTGAAGACTTACAGAAAACGTTTGACCTGTGTCATTGCCAACAAAGGGTATATAACAAAGTATTGAGAAACTTTTGTCATTGACTAAATACTTATTTTCCACCATAATTTGCAAATAAATTCATTAAAAATCCTACAATGTGATTTTGGGGAATTTATTTTCTCATTTTGTCTGTCATAGTTGACGTGTACCTATGATGAAAATTACAGGCCTCTCATCTTTTTAAGTGGGAGAACTTGCACAATTGGTAGCAGACTAAATACTTTTTTTCCCCACTGTATGTACCTGCTATGCCCATGAGCTAGGAAGCTATGTGAATATATTATGCTTACTGAAATAAAATACAAGTGACCCCCATTCAGATCAGCGTTACTGATTTGAACTTTTGTAACTACATAATATTTGTCTAAAAAATTATCATTTCAAACCTTGCCTCCATTTGTATATGATCACATATCTCTCTATTATGCGTGGAAATACACTACCGGTCAAAAGTTTTTGAACACTTACTCATTCAAGGGTTTTTCTTTATTTTTACTATTTTCTACATTGTAGAATAATAGTGAAGACATCAAAACTATGAAATAACACGTATGGAATCATGTAGTAACCAAAAAAGTGTTAAACAAATCAAAATAGATTTTATATTTGAGATTCTTCAAATATCCACCCTTTGCCTTGATGACAGCTGTGCACACTCTTGGAGTTCTCTCAACCAGCTTCATGAGGTAGTCACCTGGAATGCATTTCAATGAACAGGTGTGCCTTCTTAAAAGTTAATTTGTGGAATTTCTTTCCTTCTTAATGCATTTGAGCCAATCAGTTGTGTTGTGACAAGGTAGGGGGGTATACAGAAGATAGCCCTATTTGGTAAAAGACCAAGTCCATATTATGTCAAGAACAGCTCAATACTATAAGACATGAAGGTCCGTCAATACGTAACATTTCAATAACTTTTAAAGTTTCTTGAAGTGCAGTCGCAAAAACCATCAAGCGCTATGATGAAACTGGCTCTCATGAGGACCGCCACAGGAATGGAAGACCCAGAGTTACCTCTGCTGCAGAGGATAAGTTCATTAGATTTACCAGCCTCAGAAATTACAGCCCAAATAAATTCTTCACAGAGTTCAAGTAACAGACCCATCTCAATATCATCTGTTCAGAGGAGACTGTCTGAATCAGGCCTTCATGGTCGAATTGCTGCAAAGAAACCACTACTAAAGGACACCAATAAGAAGAAGAGACTTGCTTGGGCCAATACACATGAGCAATGGACATTAGAATGGTGGAAATGTGTCCTTTGGTATGGAGTCCAAATTGGAGATTTTTGGTTCCAACCGCCGTGTCTTTGTGAGATGCGGTGTGGGTTAACGTATGATCTCCGCATGTGTATTTCCCACCGTAAAGTAGGGAGGAGGAGGTGTTATGGTGTGGGGGTGCTTTGCTGGTGACACTATCTGTGATTTATTTAGAATTCAAGGCACACTTAACCAGCATGGCTACCACAGCATTCTGCAGTGATACGCCATCCTATCTGGTTTGCGCTTAGTGGGATTATCATTTGTTTTTCAACAGGACAATGACCCAACACACCTCCAGGCTGTGTAAGGGCTATTTTACCAAGAAGGAGATTGATGGAGTACTGCATCAGATGGCCTGGCCTCCACGATCCCCCGAACTCAACCCAATTGAGATGGTTTGGGATGAGTTGGACTGCAGAGTGAAGGAAAAGCAGCCAACAAGTGCTCAGCATATGTGGGAACTCCTTCAAGATTGTTGGAAAAGCATTCCAGGTGAAGCTGGTTGAGAGAATGCCAAGAGTGTGCAAAGGTTGGCTATTTGAAGAATCTCAAATATAAAATATATTTTGATTTGTTGAACACTTTTTTGGTTACTACATGATTCCATGTTTTATTTCATAGTTTTGATGTCTTCACTATTATTCTACGATGTAGAAAATAGTAAAAATAAAGAGAAATCCTTGAATGAGTAGGTGTTTCATAACTTTTGAACTGATTTCCAAAATTAAAATCGCATGGAGCTGCTTTGCTGGTGTTTTCAGTCATTTATGTCCAACAATAAATCATTGAAATCTTGGGGGCCAAATAAAATCCCCCGGTTTTAAACCTTTGAGACCATCTGAATAAAACCTTGAGACTAATGTTATGTGATGGCAATCTATATTTGATGTGTGTCATGATGTTCTGTGGGTTAGCAGGAGCCAGAGACTGAACTGGAGCCTCCCAAAGCCCCAGAGCCCAAGCAGGGCCTGTTTGACCTCACTGCTGGCAACTTCAAGGCCCACATCGCTAAAGGTAATGTGGGGGACTGGGATCTGTCAGTACAATATACATATGCCAACAGTCTCTTTTATAGCCTGGTCCCAGATCTGTTTTTGCTGTCTCGCACCATAGGAGTTGGCAAGACAGCGCAAACTGACCTGGGACCAGGCTTGTCTATTTATACCCAAATACAACGTGTGAGAGTTCCTTAACACAACTTTTTTTGTAAGCTACATATGTCAATTTTCTACAGCGATTAACTTAATTTAGATGCTGTCATTTCCTTGAAACCATGACGCAATCCACTCTACATTTATCTCATGCAAACCGCATGTTTCCGGTCACTGGACAAGCACAACAAAAATACATGGTGGTCATGATAAATGTCCCGCTGAAATTGCAGCTCTTCAGCCCGGTTTTGAGTTGAATGTTTTGGTTGAGAAGTAAAAATAAATATATTCCTGTTTGGAGAAAAAATACAGGATATGACAGGGTCATTTTTAAGAGGAATGTTTGTGTCCAACCTTTTTAAATGGTGGCAAGATTGGCTGTGACAAAATTGCGTAACAGGTAGCATTTAACCTCTGAGCTCAGTGTATTTTAGTCTCTGGGCCAGTAATGCAGAGGCCATTTTATAGTTGATGTTATTTCATCAACTAAATACCCATCCTTAAGCTAAAACGCTCTGATTTCTGTGCTTTCAGATTGTAGCTACCCTTACTGCACATACATTTTTATTTTTTGGGGGGTGGGGTACTTTTTACCCCTTTTTCTCCCCAATTTCGTAATATCCAATTGGTAGTTACCGTCTTGTCCCATCGCTGCAACTCCTGTACGGACTCGGGAGAGGCGAAGGTCGAGAGCCATGCGTCCTCCGAAACACGACCCTGCCACGCTGAACTGCTTCTTGACACACTGCTCGCTTAACCCGGAAGCCAGCCACACCAATGTGTCGGAGGAAACACCGTACAACTGGCGACCGAAGTCAGCGTGCATGTGCCCGGCATGAGTCGCTAGAGCGCGATGGGACAAGGACATCCCGGCCAGCAAAACCCTCCCCTAACCCGGACGACGCTGCGCCAATTGTGAGCCGCCTCATGGGTCTCCCGGTCGCGGCCGGCTGCGACACAGCCTGGGATCCAACCCGGATCTGTAGTGGCGCCTCAAGCACTGCGATGCAGTGCCTTAGACCACTGCACCACTCGGGAGGCTTACTGTACATTTTTATATATGATGTTTTCCAGTATTAATGTATTTTTCCTCTCTTCTCCGCAGGGTCCCACTTTGTCAAGTTCTTTGCCCCCTGGTGCGGTCACTGCAAGGCCATGGCCCCGACCTGGGAGCAGCTGGCCACCAGCTTCGAGCACTCGGACAACATCAAGATCGGCAAGGTGGGTGACAAGTCACCAGCAGGGGACTGGAGCGCCATGTTTGTCAGCTATGTACACGTGCACAAGTCCAGGATACGGAACTTATGACAACTCATTTTTGTTTGTACAGTAAAATGATACGACCCACTCAACAAATGTTATTTATGGCTGTGGTTTGATGTTTGTATTGGACTGACAGCCCAGTGGTAGTAGAAGTTACTGCATGTTAATATTTCCACATGAAAGCACAACTGGCTATCTTTACCAGCTACACGCGTTTTAAATGTGAATTATGACAAACTAGGTATGAGCTGGATATGCTGAATGAATTCTGATTAAACTGGTGTGTTGTGATTGGCCAGGTGGACTGTACCCAGCACTACGAGGTGTGCTCTGAGAACTCTGTGCGTGGCTACCCTACTCTGCTTTTCTTCAAGGACGGAGAGAAGGTACCTAGTTTGGTTGGCTAACTCACTGAAGAAGACCTTGTGTCATTGTGTTCTGTAACCCATTTATGTTTTGTAAGGAGCTATGACTTCACCATTTAAGGAGTCAGTTTGTTAACCCTTTCCGGTGGTGGTGTTGTCTGTCCAGGCGGACCAGTACAAAGGCAAGCGGGACCTGGACTCTCTGAAGGACTTTGTGGACAACCAGGTCAAGGCTGCTGCTGCTAAGGAGGATGATGAACACCCACATGCCAACGAGATCCCAGTACCCAGCGACGAGCCTGCTAAAGAGGAGGTACTGCAGTGTGTGGCTTTCTCTCCGGTATAATAGGCCTTCCAGATTTAAAATACTCCACATGCTATGTTGTGGGTAAATGCCTACGTCGAGATCTAATTTTGGTGCCGGGCACCCTGTTGCGTGTGTGGGCAGCACGTTTTTACAGCATACCTCTCCAGATACTTAATAAGTGAAATAAGATCTCAGGCAGATGTTTTAGCAGTGAGATTACCATCTAGCCAGCCCAGGCCAAGCTGTTTGACTCGACTCCAGTCATAGGCCTCAGCTACTTAACTAGAAGTAGCAAATATGGGCAGGGTAGTTATTTTTGTGCTTGCAACGCAAGGATAGTGGGTTCGATTCCCGGGACCACCCATACTTAAAATTTGTGCACACATGTCTGTAAGTCGCTTTGGATAAAAGTGTTTGCTAAATTACATTTATTATTATTATATTAGAATGTTCAGTGTGAAGTGACATCACTAGTCTTAACAAAGACATGGCACATGTGGTTTAACGAGAGATCCGATGCTACTTCCAATAAAACGTAGAACTCGATTAGACTCGGATGTCCGGTTTATGAACTTAGGCTACTTCTTTGAATTACTGGTCTTGTGGACGTGTAAACCAATACAGGACCGTGAATGATACAATCTGAAGTGATCTATTTTTTTCCTTGCAGTCTGGCGTGATTACACTCACAGAGGCCAACTTTGATGAGACAGTGGCCAAGGGACTGGCATTCATCAAGTTCTACGCTCCATGGTAAGAAATAGCTCTTTACGAGCTATTAAATCCAAATGTATGTTCTATTTAACCTATCTCACCTTGAATGAAATGTACAATATTTAAGGCAATTTATGTTGGTGATTGACTTAAATTGAGGGGCCACAACTAGAAGGCATAACCATAACTCGCGTAACCTTCCGTCCCCTCCAGGTGTGGCCACTGTAAGAATCTGGCCCCTGTCTGGGAGGACCTGTCTAAGAAGGAGTTCCCTGGCCTGACTGACGTGAAGATTGGCAAAGTGGACTGCACTGTGGAGAGGACGATCTGCAACAGGTTTTCAGTAGGTGTTCTATGTTGTACATTGACTGCCTGGAGCTGAGGGATGATTCAGAAAGAGCACTTCTGAAGTCTGCCATGCTCTTTCTGAAGTCTGCCATGCTCTTTCTGAAGTCTGCCATGCTCTTTCTGAAGTCTGCCATGCTCTTTCTGAAGTCTGCCATGCTCTTTCTGAAGTCTGCCATGCTCTTTCTGAAGTCTGCCATGCTCTTTCTGAAGTCTGCCATGCTCTTTCTGAAGTCTGCCATGCTCTTTCTGAAGTCTGCCATGCTCTTGGTTATAAATAGCAAGACCTTGAGACATGTTGTTTATAACACACACAAACAGCAGGTGTGACCCAGAGCCGCAGGAAGTATAAACGGTGGACTGTGGGTTAGCTGAGTTCCACTAGCCATAAAACTATACAGCACATACCTCATCGCAGGATTGGATGACCAGTGATGCTGCGCTACCAGGACTCCCCTTTATCGCTAGGACAGTCCATGGTATAGCCATCACAACCTTTATCGCTAGGACAGTCCGTGGTATAGCCATCACAACCTTTATCGCTAGGACAGTCCATGGTATAGCCATCACAACCTTTATCGCTAGGACAGTCCATGGTATAGCCATCACAACCTTTATCGCTAGGACAGTCCGTGGTATATCCATCACAACCTTTATCGCTAGGACAGTCCGTGGTATAGCCATCACAACATTTATCGCTAGGACAGTCCGTGGTATAGCCATCACAACCTTTATCGCTAGGACAGTCCGTGGTATAGCCATCACAACCTTTATCGCTAGGACAGTCCGTGGTATATCCATCAACCTTTATCGCTAGGACAGTCCGTGGTATATCCATCACAACCTTTATCGCTAGGACAGTCCGGGGTACCTAGGCATCACAACCTTTATCGCTAGGACAGTCCGTGGTATAGCCATCACAACCTTTATCGCTAGGACAGTCCGTGGTATAGCCATCACAACCTTTATCGCTAGGACAGTCCGTGGTATAGCCATCACAACCTTTATCGCTAGGACAGTCCGTGGTATAGCCATCACAACCTTTATCGCTAGGACAGTCCGTGGTATAGCCATCACAACCTTTATCGCTAGGACAGTCCGTGGTATATCCATCACAACCTTTATCGCTAGGACAGTCCGTGGTATATTCATCACAACCTTTATCGCTAGGACAGTCCATGGTATAGCCATCACAACCTTTATCGCTAGGACAGTCCGTGGTATAGCCATCACAACCTTTATCGCTAGGACAGTCCATGGTATAGCCATCACAACCTTTATCGCTAGGACAGTCCGTGGTATAGCCATCACAACCTTTATCGCTAGGACAGTCCATGGTATAGCCATCACAACCTTTATCGCTAGGACAGTCCATGGTATAGCCATCACAACCTTTATCGCTAGGACAGTCCGTGGTATAGCCATCACAACCTTTATCGCTAGGACAGTCCGTGGTATAGCAATCACAACCTTTATCGCTAGGACAGTCCGTGGTATAACCATCACAACCTTTATCGCTCCCTGGAATTTCCCCTGACTCAAGGACATGGGGCAGTAGTCTCTGCAGCTGCAGCCTATCTGTCTCTGTAGAGGCTAACAGAGTGAATTAACTTGTGGTATAATTCACACTGCTAAACGATAGGGACGTAACTATTCACCAGTAAGCATCGGTCTCAGATTCAAATGTTTAAGATACAGGTCATCGGTCCGCGGACCCCAAACCGATCCAAATGTAGCGTGCATCGGTCAGTAAATCGATTCAAACGTTACGAATCGCAGGTTCACTAAAATGTTTTGCTCATATTACATTCTTTCTACATTCCGAAAATACCTAATATTTTGTGACGACTGATGCGTCCTCTCTTTCAGTGTCGAACTGTGTTGAGTCATTGATCTACAAGTCATTTTGCATGCCAAACAACCCCAAGCAATATCAGGCTAGTCAAACTGCGCACTGTGCCCAGATTCGCAAGCTAACCAACGCAAAGAAGGCAGCCTGTTGCTGATTGTGCACATCCGCGCAGCACCTATAGCATTCAAATGCTAAAATGGCTTGCGTGATATTAGGCTTTATTAGTTGAGTGACAACCTACTGTATTCTGCTAGGTTATTGTTATCTATGCGCTGTATAAAAAATTGTGTTTTACCGGAATAAAAGTAAGCCACCGGAGACGACTCACCTGGCTTATAGCCTACCTGCTGAACAAGGCTTATTTTGATTGTTGAAGTTCACCGTCAGCAATCATTTTGGTAGTTTTGCTTTTAAACAAGCAGTGTATATTGTCGTTTTTAGATATGCAGGGTAAAGTTGATTCTGGGGGGGGGGGGGGGGGGTGTACTAGGTGCCTACATAGTAAATACACTATATATATATATATATCTCTCATTTACAAAAAACACACCGTCAGCTCAGAGGCTCAGCTAATGAGCTCCATCAGCAGCAGATGTTATTTTAGAATGGAAAATGAATGTTTATGCAACAAATGTTAGTGCATCGATTCGTTTCCAACTAAAACGTGTCGTTCCCGTATCAGATCCCATGTATTGAATCATCTTGAAAGGGAAAGATCTAGGTGGTTCATGCATAGTTTACAGTAAGAGAAAAACATTGCCCACATTCCTTCGGTGTTGACGGATCTGAAGGAATGGGGAAGGTGGAAGTGGTATGGTCAAGGCATTGCAGAGCTAGGTGAAGTTGAGGCCATATTGCTAATACCTATCCATTCCATTCAGATCAGCAAACACTGAGGAGGTAGGGGTTAGCTAGTGGTTGTTACCTGGATGTCAGAAGCTTTGTCCCCTTTCCATTCTACAGGTGAGTGGGTACCCCACCCTGCTGATGTTCAGGGCGGGTGTGCAAGGTGAGGAGCATCATGGAGGGCGGGACTTGGAGAGCCTCCACGGCTTTGTGATGAAGCAGGCCCGAGACGAGCTGTAGCACTGTCCAATCAACGTCCATCGTTAGTTCTCTCCTCCCCCACACAGCATATCTGGCCAACCGGAGGAATCCTTTCTCCTGTAGAGGCTAGCTCTCTTCTTTCTCTCTCTCCGATCATTTTCCTTTCAGAAAGGATTCACATCAACAGACTGTTTTTTTTACCCCCCCATCTGTAATGCCTTGTTTTACCCCCCCCCCCCCCCCCGTCTGTAATGCCTTGTTTACCCCCCCCCCCCCCCTGCTTAGTCCCACTGTTCCTCTGGAAATGAAATGATGTGATCGACAACCACTTTTTGCCAGCGGTACTTAATCAGTCAGACCTTGAAAATGCATACTGTTATAGTCATCCCAATACTTGACACAACTCAAGGACGGTTGTCTTAAATTGTGCCTGCCGGTTGTATCAAAAAACATTGGATTAACCTGACTGAGTTTGTCGGACATTTTAAACCGTTAATTCTGTGATTTTAAGGAAATCATGTTGATAAACAATCATGAGCAATTAATGTAATGTTACTGCAGCTAAAGGGTCAAAGCCGCATGACGTTGAGCGTTAAGTTGACGGTACTTCTCATCCATGCCAGTGACGGCCTAACTAACTTAACTCTCAGGGACACCCAGTTCTCGGCCTACTCCATACTGCTATCTCTTATCGGCTAACTTCGTATTCCCCTTATGTGTCTGTAGAGTCCCCCCAACTGCTTGTTGGCTATGTCGGAAGGCTGCAGGAAACTACTTTCCAATGTTTCATGTCAAACTGCCCTTCGTGTGTTCTTCTGACATTGTAAATGTGCTAGAAAATGTCAATGTAGACATGTTCTTTTATTTTCCATTTTAGTGCTGTCAGAGGCTTCGGTTCCAGTCCCACAACGGCACAATATCAGGTGCCTGGTTGGTGTTCTCACCGTTTCTATGAACAATGATTGTCAGTTTGCACGATCAAGACATGCCTTATGAATGGAATCTGGCAGTTTGGGTCATTACAGGAAAACTGCATTTTCATGTATTTGACATTAGTTAATGTTTGACACAGTCCCTCACATGGTTTGCAAGGGATTGTGTCAAATGTACAAAAAAATATTTAAAAATGGTTTTCTACGGCTAGTTCATTAGAATGGAATATTCAGAATGTCGCAGATAGAAGTGTGTTGTATAGAAGAAACACGTCCTTATCTTGTGTCTGCTGCAAATGCAATAGATTTCACAAAGCTGATGAATATTCTGTTCTATTGACTTAAGCCCTCTATCAGGCCCCAGTGTAAACCATTCTCCCATGTATCACTCATCCACCCAGTGAAGCACAAGAATGTAACAACATTAGTGCTATGGTCACTTTTACTGTTGGTTTATTAACCTTTGGAAAATCTGGAATGTTTGGTTTACCTCCGTATGCTTGAAGAGCAAAACAGAATAGCAAAAATGTTCCACCCACATAATGATCAATTTATATTTTACTTGTTTAGTCAGTATGTTATGATGACAACGTTGATTTTCCTTCTTTCCAGATGTAGTATATCAACCCATTTTGTAAGTGGTTCGCTAAGTCTTTGAATATACGTGTGTGCGCTATTCTGGGGCAGTTGGGGTGAATCAAAAGGGGTCTGAGAATGTGTGTGTGTGCGACTGGAGTTGCTGTGTGAGGCAGTTTTTACATTCAATGCTCAATTAAGGGAAACAAATGCATTCAGAGGCTAACCACTTATTGTCAGTACAATCTTTATGGATAGCACATGGTCTAGGCAGACTCCAGTGAAGGAAAGCAGTATTTTTTTTCTCGTGAGTGGGTTGTACACAGCCCATGAATTTTTGTAAAAAAAACAAACAACAAAGGCAAGTTGTAACATGAGATTTCGTAATAAAATTTCTTTTTCCAAAAATAGTTTGTATTTTTCATTTGTTCACATTTCTTTCTCTGTAATATGGCTTGTGATTTTAAGAGGTGCAATAAATAAGCTGAAAATGTACAAGTATTTACACACAAAAGTAAGTCTAAACATGATCACAAATGTAAACAGCAGCTTACCAGAGGTATATTTTGTGATTTGTTTTTGTTTGTTTTGTTGTTGGCACAATGGTATCAAATTTTCAGCTATGGTCAAATGTTCTGTTTTAAAGTCCATATGTCAATTTCTTGGCATGTTTTGAAAAAGGTTTGTACTCTTGAACAAAGTTCAGTAACATGCAGTTGATCTGTAAAATGCATTGACAGTTCCTATTTCTTTCAAGTGAACAAAACATCAATGACAAATGGTCATAAACCACACCGAAGCTAATTTCAGAAATCTGGTCCTAAACATTTGATCAGCTGGTTTTGACCAACAAATAGTTTTTTACACTCTCCAGGTTTTTGGGAATAATATGTTAACTTGGAGAGTGGAATAACATGGAAATTGCAGTTTGCGGTATGCCCGAGGGATGAGGTGAATGACATATTTGGAACAGTATGTCAGCTGAGCCACAACCTGCTACCTGATGAACCAGCTCGGTGAAATAAACTCGGCATGAGCCTGACAAATATTGACCCAATGAAGATATTTGGAGGAGTTCACAAGTGAAAATAGTATGTGGTCGTTTCCGTTCGGCCCATATGTTTTTGGAAGCCAGGTGAATATGGCGGAAAAGCTTACGAGTACAATACATAAAGAGGAGTAGGAAATATCTCTTTACATTAACTAATGTATCGTGGCATAAATGTTACAATATCAGCTGACTGTTGATGTTAAAAATCAGGCTTTGTATATATATTATACATACAGTGCATTTGGAAAGAATTCAGATCCCTTGACTTTTTCCACATTTTGTTAAATTATAGCCTTATTCTAAAATGGATTTAAAAAATATATTTTCCTCAATCTACACACAATACCCCATAATGAGAAAGCAAAAACTGGTTAGGAAATGTTTTGATAATTTATTTTTATATACGGAAATATCAACATTTACTCAGTACTTTGTTGAAGCACCTTTGGCAGCGATTACAGCCTTCGAGTCTTCTTGGGTATGACGCTACAAGCTTGGCACACCTGTATTTGGGGAGTGTCTCCCATTATTTTCTGCAGATCCTCAAGCTCTGCCAGGTTGGATGGGGAGCGTCGCTGCACAGCTATTTTCAGGTCTCTCCAAAGATGTTAGATTGGGTTCAAGTCGTGGCTCTGGCTGGGCCTCTCAAGGACATTCAGAGACTTGTCCCGAAGCCACTCTTGCTTTGTCTTGGCTATGTGCTTAAGGTTGTTGTCCTGTTGGAAGGTGAACCTTCGCCTCAGTCTGAGGTCCTGAGCGCTCTGGAGCAGGTTTTCATCAAGGATTTCACCAGATGTGACGCTTGGCATTCAGGCCAAAGAGTTCAATCTTGGTTTCATCAGACCAGATAATCTTGTTTCTCATGGTCTGAGAGTCTTTAGGTGCCTTTGGCAAACTCCAAGCGGGCTTTCATGTGCCTTTTACTGAGAAGTGGCTTCCATCTGGCCACTCTACTATAAAGGCCTGATTGGTGGAGTGCTGCAGAGATGGTTGTCCTTCTGGAAGGTTCTCCCATCTCCACAGAGGAACTCTGGAGCTCTGTCAGAGTAACCATCGGGTTCTTGGTCACCTCCCTGACCAAGGCCCTTCTCCCCTGATTGCTCAGGTTGGCCAGGCAGCCAGCTCTAGGATGAGTCTTGGTGATTCCAAACTTCTTCCATTTATGAATGATTGAGGCCACTGTGTTCTTGGGGACCTTCAATGCTGCAGAAATGTTTTGGTACCCTTCCCCAGATCTGTGCCTCGACATAATCCTGTCTCGGCGCTCTATGGACAATTCCTTCGACCTCATGGCTTGGTTTTTGCTCTGACATGCACTGTCAACTGTGGGACCTTATATAGATAGGTGTGTGCCTTTCCAAATCATGTCCAATCAATTGAATTTACCACAGGTGGACTCCCAATGAAGTTGTAGAAACATCTCAAGGATGATCAATGGAAACAGGATGCACCTGAGCTCAATTTCGAATCACATAGCAAAAGTTATTTCTGTTTTTATTTGTAATAAATTTGCTAACATTTCTAAAAACCTGTTTTCGCTTCATCATTATGGGGTATTGTGTGTAAATGAGGGATATTTGTTTTTTAGAGTAAGTCTGTAACGTAACAAAAATGTGGAAAAAGTCAAGGGGTCTGAATACTTTCCGAATGCACTGTACATCTGTAGTTAGGCTAATGCTGTTTCCCCTGCTGTCCTAAAAGGATTTCTAAATGTTTTCTGTGTCATTTGACTACATCTGACGGGATTGGCTACCCGCGCTGAGATAACATTGAGTAAATTCCCTGACGTCTTCCGAGTTGTTTTGCTGTAATGAGCCAGTAGCCGTCGGAGAACTTGAAAATCACTTCGATTGGAGAGGGGGGGGAAAGCAGCACAATGGGCCATTATCAATTCCTCCCTCACCCTGAGTATGGGAGAGGAGTGGGTAGTACAAACACGCAGACCCAGGATGTCGCGTGCAAACAGTCTCTGCTGCAGCCCGCGTGCGGTCAGGTGACCATGATGACGCGGCGGTTTGGCGGTCGTCAGTGGCAACCACAGGCCCTGACCACCATGTTCTTGTACTTCTTCAGGATGACGTTGGAGTTGTCGTCGAAGTAGAGCACAGAGATGGCGTGCAGCCTGGTGGGCGCGCAGCAGGGCTTGGGCACATTCTCCGGGTTCATGAGGTGGACCTGGGAGACGACGACAAGGTCAGAAGTCGACGAAAAGATTTCAAAGGTCACTTATTCCCTTTGAAGGGCCAATTATGTCACCTTTGGAGCTTTGTTAGCGCTCAGCAGTTTATAAGCCTTCTTGGAGAACTCACCAGTGTCTGCACAATGGCATGGTTGGTAGCGTTCATATGGGCGTTGAGGGGGAAGGCACACTCTCCACCACAGTAGTAGGCGGCATAGCCCTCGGGTGCAATGATCCAGTCCTGATACAATCACAAGAGGGATACATTCAATATGGCTAACCAGTCGGGACACAACAGTCATCCTAATGGTCTACAGTGTGTTCTGAAGGCTCTGTGACAGGGATACTGAGGCAGTAGGGTACTGTGTATATGAAGGCTCTGTGACTGGAATACTGAGGCAGTAAGGTACTGTGTATATGAAGTCTATGTGACTGGGCTACTGAGGCAGTAGGGTATTGTGTATATGAAGGCTCTGTGACTGGGATACTGAGGCAGTAGGTTACTGTGTATATGAAGGCTCTGTGACTGGGATGCTGAGGCAGTAGGGTACTGTGTATATGAAGGCTCTGTGACTGGGATACTGAGGCAGTAGGGTACTGTGTATATGAAGACTCTGTGACTGGGCTACTGAGGCAGTAGGGTACTGTGTATATGAAGGCTATGTGACTGAGATACTGAGGCAGTAAGGTACTGTGTATATGAAGGCTCTGTGACTGGGTTACTGAGGCAGTGGGGTACTGTATATATGAAGTCTCTGTGACTGATACTGAGGCAGTAGGGTACTGTGTATATGAAGGCTATGTGACTGAGATACTGAGGCAGTAAGGTACTGTGTATATGAAGGCCCTGTGACTGGGATGCTGAGGCAGTAGGGTACTGTGTAAATGAAGGCTCTGTGACTGGGATACTGAGGCAGTAGGGTACTGTGTAAATGAAGGCTCTGTGACTGGCATACTGAGGCAGTAGGGTACTGTGTATATGAAGGCTCTGTGACTGGGATGCTGAGGCAGTAGGGTACTGTGTATATGAAGGCTCTGTGACTGGGATGCTGAGTCAGTAAGGTACTGTGTATATGAAGGCTCTGTGACTGGGATACTGAGGCAGTAGGGTACTGTGTAAATGAAGGCTCTGTGACTGGCATACTGAGGCAGTAGGGTACTGTGTATATGAAGGCTCTGTGACTGGGATGCTGAGGCAGTAGGGTACTGTGTATATGAAGGCTCTGTGACTGGGATGCTGAGTCAGTAAGGTACTGTGTATATGAAGGCTCTGTGACTGGGATACTGAGGCAGTAGGGTACCGTGTAAATGAATAATCTGTGACTGGGCTACTGAGGCAGTAGGGTCCTGTGTATATGAAGGCTCTGTGACTGGGCTACTGATGCAGTAGGGTACTGTTTATATGAAGGCTCTGTGACTGGGATACTGAGGCAGTAGGGTACTGTGTATATGAAGGCTCTGTGACTGGGATACTGAGGCAGTAGGGTACCGTGTAAATGAATAACCTGTGACTGGGCTACTGAGGCAGTAGGGTACTGTGTATATGAAGGCTCTGTGACTGGGCTACTGAGGCAGTAGGGTACTGTGTATATGAAGAATCTGTGACTGGGCTACTGAGGCAGTAGGGTACTGTGTATATGAAGGCTATGTGACTGGGATACTGAGGCAGTAAGGTACTGTGTATATGAAGGCTCTGTGACTGGGATACTGAGGCAGTAGGGTACTGTGTAAATGAAGGCTCTGTGACTGGGATACTGAGGCAGAAGGGTACTGTGTATATGAAGGCTCTGTGACTGGGATGCTGAGGCAGTAGGGTACTGTGTATATGAAGGCTCTGTTACTGGGATACTGAGGCAGTAGGGTACTGTGTATATGAAGGCTCTGTGACTGGCATACTGAGGCAGTAGGGTACTGTGTAAATGAAGGCTCTGTGACTGGCATACTGAGGCAGTAGGGTACTGTATAAATGATGAATCTGTGACTGGGATGCTGAGGCAGTAGGGTACTGTGTATATGAAGGCTCTGTGACTGGGATACTGAGGCAGTAGGCTACTGTGTAAATGAAGGCTCTGTGACTGGGATACTGAGGCAGTAGGGTACTGTGTATATGAAGGCTCTGTGACTGGGCTACTGAGGCAGTAGGGTACTGTGTATATGAAGGCTATGTGACTGAGATACTGAGGCAGTAAGGTACTGTGTATATGAAGGCTCTGTGACTGGGTTACTGAGGCAGTGGGGTACTGTATATATGAAGTCTCTGTGACTGATACTGAGGCAGTAGGGTACTGTGTATATGAAGGCTATGTGACTGAGATACTGAGGCAGTAAGGTACTGTGTAAATGAAGGCTCTGTGACTGGGATACTGAGGCAGTAGGGTACTGTGTAAATGAAGGCTCTGTGACTGGCATACTGAGGCAGTAGGGTACTGTGTATATGAAGGCTCTGTGACTGGGATGCTGAGGCAGTAGGGTACTGTGTATATGAAGGCTCTGTGACTGGGATGCTGAGTCAGTAAGGTACTGTGTATATGAAGGCTCTGTGACTGGGATACTGAGGCAGTAGGGTACTGTGTAAATGAAGGCTCTGTGACTGGCATACTGAGGCAGTAGGGTACTGTGTATATGAAGGCTCTGTGACTGGGATGCTGAGGCAGTAGGGTACTGTGTATATGAAGGCTCTGTGACTGGGATGCTGAGTCAGTAAGGTACTGTGTATATGAAGGCTCTGTGACTGGGATACTGAGGCAGTAGGGTACCGTGTAAATGAATAATCTGTGACTGGGCTACTGAGGCAGTAGGGTCCTGTGTATATGAAGGCTCTGTGACTGGGCTACTGATGCAGTAGGGTACTGTGTATATGAAGGCTCTGTGACTGGGATACTGAGGCAGTAGGGTACTGTGTATATGAAGGCTCTGTGACTGGGATACTGAGGCAGTAGGGTACCGTGTAAATGAATAACCTGTGACTGGGCTACTGAGGCAGTAGGGTACTGTGTATATGAAGGCTCTGTGACTGGGCTACTGAGGCAGTAGGGTACTGTGTATATGAAGGCTCTGTGACTGGGCTACTGAGGCAGTAGGGTACTGTGTATATGAAGGCTATGTGACTGGGATACTGAGGCAGTAAGGTACTGTGTATATGAAGGCTCTGTGACTGGGATACTGAGGCAGTAGGGTACTGTGTAAATGAAGGCTCTGTGACTGGGATACTGAGGCAGAAGGGTACTGTGTATATGAAGGCTCTGTGACTGGGATGCTGAGGCAGTAGGGTACTGTGTATATGAAGGCTCTGTTACTGGGATACTGAGGCAGTAGGGTACTGTGTATATGAAGGCTCTGTGACTGGCATACTGAGGCAGTAGGGTACTGTGTAAATGAAGGCTCTGTGACTGGCATACTGAGGCAGTAGGGTACTGTGTAAATGATGAATCTGTGACTGGGATGCTGAGGCAGTAGGGTACTGTGTATATGAAGGCTCTGTGACTGGGATACTGAGGCAGTAGGCTACTGTGTAAATGAAGGCTCTGTGACTGGGATACTGAGGCAGTAGGGTACTGTGTATATGAAGGCTCTGTGACTGGGATACTGAGGCAGTAGGTTACTGTGTATATGAAGGCTCTGTGACTGGGATACTGAGGCAGTAGGGTACTGTGTATATGAAGGCTATGTGACTGGGCTACTGAGGCAGTATGGTACTGTGTATATGAAGGCTCTGTGACTGGGCTACTGATGCAGTAGGGTACTGTGTATATGAAGGCTCTGTGACTGGGATACTGAGGCAGTAGGGTACTGTGTATATGAAGGCTCTGTGACTGGGCTACTGAGGCAGTAGGGTACTGTGTATATGAAGGCTCTGTGACTGGGATACTGAGGCAGTAGGGTACTGTGTATATGAAGGCTATGTGACTGGGATACTGAGGCAGTAAGGTACTGTGTATATGAAGGCTCTGTGACTGGGATACTGAGGCAGTAGGGTACTGTGTATATGAAGGCTCTGTGACTGGGCTACTGAGGCAGTAGGGTACTGTGTATATGAAGGCTCTGTGACTGGGCTACTGAGGCAGTAGGGTACTGTGTATATGAAGGCTCTGTGACTGGGATACTGAGGCAGGGTACTGTGTATATATCTCAGTGGAGGCTCCAGCCATTACCACGAGCCCGTCCTCCCCAATGAAGGTGCCACCAACCTCCTGTGTATATGTACAGTGGGGAAAAATAGTATTTAGTCAGCCACCAATTGTGCAAGTTCTCCCACTTAAAAAGATGAGAGAGGCCTGTAATTTTCATCATAGGTACACGTCAACTATGACAGACAAATTGAGAAGAAAAAAAATCCAGAAAATCACATTGTAGGATTTTTAATGAATTTATTTGCAAATTATGGTGGAAAATAAGTATTTGGTCACCTACAAACAAGCAAGATTTCTGGCTCTCACAGACCTGTAACTTCTTCTTTAAGAGGCTCCTCTGTCCTCCACTCGTTACCTGTATTAATGGCACCTGTTTGAACTTGTTATCAGTATAAAAGACACCTGTCCACAACCTCAAACAGTCACACTCCAAACTCCACTATGGTCAAGACCAAAGAGCTGTCAAAGGACACCAGAAACAAAATTGTAGACCTGCACTAGGCTGGGAAGACTGAATCTGCAATAGGTAAGCAGCTTGGTTTGAAGAAATCAACTGTGGGAGCAATTATTAGGAAATGGAAGACATACAAGACCACTGATAATCTCCCTCGATCTGGGCCTCCACGCAAGATCTCACCCCGTGGGGTCAAAATGATCACAAGAACGGTGAGCAAAAATCCCAGAACCACACAGGGGGACCTAGTGAATGACCTGCAGAGAGCTGGGACCAAAGTAACAAAGCCTACCATCAGTAACACACTACGCCGCCAGGGACTCAAATCCTGCAGTGCCAGACGTGTCCCCCTGCTTAAGCCAGTACATGTCCAGGCCCGTCTGAAGTTTGCTAGAGTGCATTTGGATGATCCAGAAGAGGATTGGGAGAATGTCATATGGTCAGATGAAACCAAAATATAACTTTTTGGTAAAAACTCAACTCGTCGTGTTTGGAGGACAAAGAATGCTGAGTTGCATCCAAAGAACACAATACCTACTGTGAAGCATGGGGGTGGAAGCATCATGCTTTGGGGCTGTTTTTCTGCAAAGGGACCAGGACGACTGATCCGTGTAAAGGAAAGAATGAATGGGGCCATGTATCGTGAGATTTTGAGTG